ATTCCCCCAGCTGTAAGCCTTCCAACCTTCTAAATATTCCTTTCTATGTGGTTCAGAGTTCTGGGACCATCCCCTGAGCCTGCTTGGTTGGGTATTCTGTGTTGTTGCTGGCAGAGCTCTTTACAACACTTCCACCCGATCCACTATCTTGTTTGTTCTCCTCAAAGACTTCATTTTGCTTGGATCCACAATCAACAATTATGGAAGCAGCAGTCAAGACATTAGATGGCATATTGCAGTAGGTCAATCTGCTGCACATGACATTTTAAGGTGTTCAAGAGCAAAGATATCAGTTTGAGGAGTAAGGTGCACCTGACCCAAATTGTGATATTTTCAATCTCCTCATATGTATGTGAAAGTTGATCAATGGATAAGGAAGACTGTAGAAGAATTAATGCCTTTGTATTAATTATGTTGGAGAAGAATATTGGAAGTACCATGGATTGTCAGAATAACAAACGAATCTGTGTTTTAAGAATTACAGCCAGAATGCTACTTAGAAACCAGGATGATAAGACTTTGTCTCTCATACTTCATACGTGTTATCAGGAGGGATCCATTCCTAGAGTAGGATATCATCCTTCCTTTAATGTAGGGCCAGTGAAAATGAGGAAGACACCCAATGAGATGGATTGGCACAGTGACAGCTACAATTGGCTGAAATATAACAATTGTTAGAATGGCAAAGGACCAGGCAGTGTTTCATTCTGTTGTGCATGGGGTCACTGTGAATTGTAATTGACTTGAAGGCACTTAACAATAACATATTCATGTTTACTGATTACTTCCTTTGTTGTATTCATTCTGCTTTTGTGCCCATTTAGTGAATTTATTTCTTTTATTGTATTTTTTAAGTTCTATCCTTTCTACTCTGTTCTTTTTAATATATTTCATTTATTTTTGGAAGCCCTGGTGTGGCGCTATAGGATAAGCACTGGACTGGTCAGCAGTTCAAACCCATCACTTCTCTTCAGAAACCCTATACAGGGTCGCTGTGAATTGGAATTGACGTGACAGCTTTTAACAAGAAGGACAATTTCTTTAATGAGATTTCCTTTTTTTTTTTTTCTCATTTGCTTTTAAACATATGAAAAAGAAAGACATTGAAACATTTTGATCATGGCTGCTTTAATATCTGACATACATTGATATTGACTTCCATTATCTCTTCTTATTGAAGTGATTTTCCTGGTTTTGGGGTATAAGAAGGGATTTTCGTTTTCCTCCTGAACATTTTAAGTATTATGTTATTAGACTATGGATCCTATTTAAATCATGTATTTTTGTAGACAGTCACTTGTATAGGTGCATAGGTCCTTATCTACTTTTATGGGCTATCATTCTAATGCCAATTTATTTTTCAGTGCACTGTTTCATTCACATACCCCTCTGGGACTCTCTGCTAATGCAGACTTCTTGTTGTTGTTAAGTGCCGTTGAGTCGGTTCCGACCCATAGCGACCCTGTATAGGGTTTCCGAGGAGCTTGAACTGCTGACCGTACAGTTGAAATGGCTTTGCAGTCTGGCGCATTAACCCACAGTGCCACACCAGGACTCCAGCCTATAGAGGACAAAATGCTCTTCTCTGGGTCTCTTGCCACTAAATTCAAGGTTGAGGGACAGAGAGAGCACTTCCCCAGGCCTGGTCTTTTGCTGAGTAGGAGGTTCAGAGATGTTGGACCTGGATTGCCTTCTGTTGCTGGTTGGAGACACTAAGATTTGATATTTTTCTTTCAATCTTGGATGTCCCTAGCCAGTCTACGTTCATATTTTCACTCCTCAGAGCTCTTTTATGATTGTATACTGTTAATATTTTTAGCATTTTAACTTGTACTTAGGAAGGAGAAGTAGGGAGATATGTGTTTCTACCATCTTGTCCCAAACACAAAACTACTGTTTTAAATTAACTTTGGAATGTGAATGTTACTGTCCTATCAGCTAAACTTATTTATATTTTATTTAATATTATATATTTCTTTTCATATTAAAAACTTAAGGGCAGTACTGACATATCTTGTTCTATCACATGTGTTTATACGAATTCTTTTTCACATAGATGTAGAAAAATAACTTTTAGGAATTATCTGTATGTTTTCTTGTTTATTTTTATCCAGGTGTTTTATGGTTAATTTTGTAGGCAAAGGCTTACATGAAAATTAATTTTAAATTTTCCAGTTTGGTACTCACTAATTTTATCATTTAAATTTAAATTTAAATTATTAGATTTTTTTCACATTTATTTAAGTATCCTTAAATTTATTAAGGAAAGAACAATGTATGTGTCCCAGATAAATATATAAATTGGTATATTTTAAGTTACAATTGGTTTTTAGCAATTTTAGTTGACCATATTAATGAAGGAACCTCAAAACAAGATAAAATTTATCTAGAGTATCCATAATCAAAGGTTTCATAGGGGTACATCACTGGCAATCCCACCACTATGAGACAATATCTGCTAAATAAAGTTTGTTGTACTATGTTAACGTGTATATTGCTATGATGCCGAAAGATACACAATTCAGTGGCTTTTTAGTAAATTCACAGGGTTGTGTAATCTTAACTTTTGTAAAAATATTATCATTGTTATCTGTTGTTGACTCCATTCCCAACTGCATTCCCACATTCAGTGGAACAAAATTGCTTCCCATGCTATACCATCCCCATGACTGGTTGCAGATGGGACCGATGTGATCCACAGGATTTTTAGGGTTGGCTGGTATTCAGAAGTAGAACATTAGGCCTTTGTTCCTAGCCCATTTTAGTCTGGAAGCTCTGCTGAAACTTGTTCAGCATCATAGGAACATGATGTGGGAATTGTACCTGGGTCTCCAGCATGGAAGGGGAGAATTGTACCACTGGAACACCACAGCATTTTCTTTGAATTTGTTATTTATGATCTTATATTTGGAGATTTTTCTTAGACTTTAATATTTAATATATAAGGATTAGAATTAAGGATTTTCAGATCTTAACAGACGTTAAATATTGAACTTTGAAAATTACAGAGTAGTGTCTGCTCTGAAAAGTTGATCATTTTTTCATTACTAGCTTGAGTCATGATGTAGCACCTATGAAGGAAAGCACCAATAGCCCAGATAGCCCAAGTGGAAATGGCAAACAAGATCGGATTAAACAGAGAAGAGCTTCCTGTCCTCGACCTGAGAAGGGGACTAGATTCCAGCTTATTGTTCTTCAGGTAGCGTGTAAACATCGTTTAATTAAAAGTGTATGTCTGATAGGTTGGAGAGGGGGGATGTTGATGAAGTGAGTATAAGATATTGTGAAACTCTGTCTAACGTAACTTTTCCTAGTTAAGAAAAATCCTGATACAGCTATTTTGTGTTAATAGTTGAATTTGGGGAAATATAAAATACAATTTACTGGGAATGCCACCATTCAGAGATAGCTCCCATTAATATTTTAGTCTATTTTCATTTCATTTTTCCTATATGTATCTGTAGCATTTTACATGGTTGATATTTTAATGGTACTGGCATGGCGCTGTAGGATAAAGCACTGGATCCCAAGGTCGGTGTGAGCCACAAGGTTGATGATTCAAACTCACCAGCCACTCCTTTGAAACCCTATACAGATTCACTATGAGTTGGAACTGACTCGAAAGCACTTAACAACAATAATAGTGGTAGTAGGAATGTGGTGGTTCTGTAGAATAACCACTGTACTGTGAATCACAAAGTTGGCAGTTCCAGCCCATCAACCACTCCACAGGTAAAAGATGAGACTTTCTGCTCCTACAAAGATTTACACGCTAGGAAACCCTATACAAAGTTGATATGAGTCAGAACCAACTCGACAACACTTAACAACAGCAACAATAGTAGTAGTAGCAAAAAATTACTGAATTCTGGACTAGGCACCCAAATAGAGTCTCTGGATGGCACAAATGATTAAACCTTAGCTGTTAACTGAAAAGTTGGTGATCCAAATCCACTCCCAGATTCCTTGGAAGAAAGCCCTGGCCATGTACTTTAAAAAAAAAACATCAGCTGTTGAAAACCTTACTCTAACTTAATCAGGTCTACTCTGATAATACTTAAGGTTGCCATTAATCAGAATCAATGATGGGGGGAAAAGGCACCACAAATATTATAAATTTAATTTTTCAGTAACCCAGTATGGTCAATAATTACAGACTCTTCTATACAAATAAGGTTACTGAAGGTCAGAGTGGTAGAATCATTTGGCTGAAGTCATTCAATTAGCCAAGGATAGATCAGAATCAAGATCAGACTTTAAAATCCGTACCAAAACCCACTGCCATTGCATGATTCCAACTCATAGTGACCCTATATAGGGTTTCTGAGGCTGTAAATCTTTACAGGAGCAGACAGCCTTATCTTTCTCCTGCAGAGTAGTGGGTTTGAACTGCCAACCTTGTAGTTAGCAGTCCAGTGCTTACCAATATGCTATACATTTTGGACGAATGTTTAAACCTCTATACAATTTTATATACTGTGATTTAAATATACATATATATATATATATATATAATACACATTTTCCTGTGTCATGAAGTGCTTTTTCAGTGACAAATTATTTTAAATGGCTGCATTCGATTGTCCTTTTTATAAGAGGCCTGATGGTACAGTGTATTAAATGTTGGGCTGCTGATTACAAGGTCAGCAAATCAACCCACCAGCCACTCTGCAAAATAAAGATGAGACCTCCTGCTTCCCTAATGACTTGGTTGTTGTTGTTGGTGGTGTGCCGTGGAGTCGGTTCTAATTCATAGCAACCCTGCCTTGTAAACCCTGTGGAGCACTTCTACTCTGTTCTTTATGGTCACTGTGAGTCAGAATCTACTCGATGGCAGTGGGTTCATTTTGGTTATAGTTGTAGTCTGTTATTCCTCATATAGGTTTACTCTGTTTATCTGTCTGTCTTTTTCATATTCTCTCTCTCTTCAACGTAAATCTTTGTATATAGCTCTTGATTATTTCATTATGATAAGTTTCTAAATGGAATTAATGGGTCAAAGAGTATGAAGATTTTTTAAGTTTCTAAATATATGTTGCTACATTATTTTCCAGAAAGGCTGGAACAGTTTATATTCAGGGGTTTCAAAAGTTTGTGGTAAAATTCCATTACCTCTCAATTTCATTCCTTCACATACTTTTTTTTTTTTTAATTTAAGGTTTTTATTGTGGATTGAGTGAAAGTTTACAGGGCACATCATCAGTTTCACATTCAACAATTCATATAACTTGTTTCAT